ACATACCTCCTTATAAACCTTAATGACGAGAGCATCGGGATGAAATGGACGATCAAACTGATCTACTAGGATGTGAAGACGCCGAATCTCCTCTGTCATTGCACTTGATATCTTAGGTAATAATAAAATAATATAAAATAATATTAATAAAATATATTAAATATTCTGAAGATATTGCACTTGACATCCTAGGCAGTAATACATAACTTTAATTTACATATATTAAATATTCTGAATATGATGGTTTTAAGGAGAAACATCAGCTTACACCTAAAAATAAGGTATTAAAATTATTTAATTAAAAAAATGTGTTCCCTGATTTTTTAACTGGATAATTATAATAAAGATAATAAAACACTTTCAGTGACTGGAAGTGTTTCTATCATTTTTTCGCTGTAAAATGATGGTTTTTATGGGTAAGCAATTTTTAAATACACTAATTTCCATGTTCAAGTTGATAATTTCTATGTCCTTCAAAATGGGCAAGTAAATTTCAAAAATGGCTTTTATGGTTTTGTTTTTTACAAGGCACAGTACATCTTTAAAAGATAATTTTTAATTATTACTAATAAAGATAATGATAATGCAGTAAATTTTATTTCAAAGTGTTTATCGTAATAGTAGAGTTCAAAGGTACAATACATTTAATAATGAGTCTTCTTTATATATTTTCTAACAACATCATATTTTGTCTTTTTGATGTATATAATAACCTTGTACTCTGCTTGTTCAGAGATGTCCTTTATCTTATCTTTGCATTCGGTTGTTAGAATTCCTAGCTGTTTGATGATGTGGTCCAACATGTCCCCTTTCTCTTTTCGTTTTTCAATACATAGTGCTCTAAATAGAATTAACAAAAATGTATATATTATAAATGAAATTTTGCAAAATAAAACAATTAATGACACAAAGATGCAAGGGGATGCAGTTTATTAAATAGTGATAACACTATAACAAGACTTGTGGTACAATGGTAATATTTTGGATTTCAGTCAAGAAGTTGTGGATTCCGAGACTGAGGATGTTCGCTGTTTGTTAGTGCATGTGTCCTTAGGCAAGACACTTAATCTAAGTTTGTCTCTCCTCTACCAAAGTATTAAATGAATGATTTAGATGAAATTGGTAGTGCTGAATTTAACACATGGCTAGGAGTACTCCCCATAGTGATTGATTTTGTAACGAGGTGAAAAAATAGCAGCTTGATTAATGGATGTGTGTTATATAAATCCTATAAAATAAATAAACTAACCTATCGTCTATGTATTGTATTTTACAGATTACATTTTACAGTTGTTTACCTTCTCCTTGCAGCTTTTTCATATAAAGATTCCATAAGGGCCTGGATTTCTTGTGTTATTTGCTGACCTTGTCGGCTGTGCTGCTCAAACTTTGTTATCAGCGCAGATTTTGAAATACATTCCTGAAAAACATAGAAAAAATGCTTAAATACGACAAAATATTAATAAAACATGGAAGGTAATGAAAACAAAAACAAAGAATCTTATAAAAAACTGTGAGTGTTATGTAGGTGGTTTAGTAAAGACCAAAACATAAGTTGTCTTGTAATCATACTCACCTCAAATTTACGCTCAAAATTTTCAAATTCAAATAGTCTTGCTTGGAAGCCTTCTGCTAAAGCACCACCTTTATGTTCAAAACAAAGTCTTGTTATTTTTAAAACACTTGTAGCACCACATTCAGGGTGAAGTTTTACAATGGTATTGACAAATGGCACATGTGGTAGCACTGGTGATTTGATATAGAGCAAACATGAACAAATAATTGATTGAGGTAACATTGCTGGATGTTGGTAATGATGTGGAGGCAGTAACTGAAGTTGGCAATGATATGGAGGCAGTAAAATTTGGCAATGATGTGGAGGCAGAAACTGGAGTGGGTAATGAGGTGGAGGCATAAACTAAAT